CTGAAGCAGGAAGATTGTGAGATCCCAGTCTGAGCAACTTAGGACTTAGGAGGACCCTGCCTTAAAATGTAGAGGGGTGTGCGTGATCTAGTGTGCAAGTTCTAGGTTCAATCCTCAGTATCACCGAGCTGTTATCTGATGTATTCGTGGTACTCAGTATGCCACAAACAAAAAGAAAAATATAACCATGCATGTATCTGTCTATATATTGTTATCTGATGTAGTCCTTCGGCTGCCTCTTGTAGTTCAGGTACACATATTATCAGAGCTAAAGAAGAAGACTTTTAAAAGCCTGCCTTCGACCTGTTTCCCTATAAGACAATACTAGAAGAGCATACGTTGCAAAATTCACAAGTATATAACAATATTATGTATACTAGTATGGTAGCTCACTGGCTAAAAAACAGGTGACAGCCCTAGGCCACAAACATATGTTATCCCCTAAGAAGCACTCTGATGGCATGAAATAATGGCCAATCAAACAGAGCCAGGATTCTGACCTTTTTTTTCCTCCCCCTCTAAGGAAACAGCTTCACATTGTTGGTTGGTTCGAGCGCCCCCATGTGTCTCAACAGAGTAATGTCACGTAAGGTCTTTAGAAGGGCTATTTTAAATGACAGATAGGATAACACAAAAGTCCTCTTTTACACTTGCGTCAGGGGCCTCGCGTGAAACTCGGAAGACTCCCAGGCTTCCCTCAGAGTGTGAATTGCTTCTCCTGGGTCTAAAGTGACGTCACAACTTACACCTGAAGGAATGAGATGCAGCTGTTAACAGAAGTGGAGGCTGATTTCAACTTGCCTGTTCTGGTTTAAGCCTGTCGGGTCATCCTGTCTTTTCCTCTGCCTGCCCCCTCCACCCCATGCACTCTGAGGGGCAAGGCTCTAGGGATACACCCTCTCTAATACTAAAGAATCTGAGCTACTTGTACAAGAAGCAGATCTTGGGAGATTTCCACCGTCCACCCTTGGCCACGAGAAAACCGTCCTTCTCCAGCCCGCCTGCTCAGTTGGGGAGGGAGGGCAGCCCTTTTCTGACATATGCATCCTCAACAATGCCTGGCCTGGAGTAGACAGGCACTGAGGAAATGTTAATTGAATCCAAACCTATAAGCTCTGTTGCAATATGCTTGCTTTATTATATTTCTAGAAAACAGAGACAACACTCATCATTTAAGAATGAGCGGATTCCCAGGGCACAGGAGGAGACTGGCCATCTTTC